GAAAGAAAGAAAGAAAGAAAGAAAGAAAGAAAGAAAGAAAGAAAGAAAGAAAGAAAGAAAGAAAGAAAGAAAGAAAGAAAGAAAGAAAAGAAAAGTGGCGATCCCTCTACTGGTCAGACAATTTGATCTTCCAGAATCTGAAGCTTTTCTTTGTTGCAAATTTTTAATTTCCTCTAGCTATTCAAGATTAAATAAAGTGATTATGACCTCCATAATTTCTATTTATCTGTGAGGTGTTCTTGATCTTACTGAATGCAATTTTACAGTCAGAGAAATGGTTTAACATAAAAGCGATGTGAAGCCATGAAGGTTTAACTTGTTYTAGACAAACTGGGATTCCTTCTGAGAATCTGTTGGCTTCATTTTGCTATCTACTGCAGGTGAGACGCTTTYAACTCAAAGGTCCTACACAGAAGCCGCACCTCAAAGGAACTAAACCAACACTTTAGCTCATGTTCTGTACATTAAATATATAAACTCAGTACAAACAGCAAGGACATTTGTGTTTWTTTCTTTATTGTATCAATGCTTCTTGATAATGAATCTCTATTAAGTTCCCTTTTAAATAGTGCCACATTTGTAAGGAACATGCATTTGTAGGATGAGCAAACTGCTTTTTTTTGCTGTCTCTATTGACTCTTTTTTTTGATAGGATGTATTGCCAAGAAGCATTGTAGCAAAAAATATATAATCTGCCAAGCTAAAATGTTATCACTTTTTGTGCTGTTTACAATCATTGTAATGAAGCAACAARTTGAAGCTTGAATAAAATTGATATTTTTGTTCAGTTTCATGCATGTTTGACACACATGAACAGAAATCAGTGTTTCTGTGTTGCATGCAGTAAAATGTGCACTCTTCATCACTGTTACATGTGTTTTCTATATGATTTATTAAAGAAAGAYCACTTCAAACAGCTGTGAGCAGGAGTCTATAGTCGACAAAGTGTTTAGAGAGGAGAATTCCCTAATAAAACAAATAATGTTGCATTTGGCCTCCTAACAATCTGCAGCTTCCTTAATACATTTAATTGCATGTCAGCTGGACTGACTCATGCTTAAACATTTTTTATATTTTTACTTCTTTCTCTGACTTAACACAGGTTCCCGTAATAAAACAACTAGTTACTGCACAATAATAATTTCACTGTCTCAGAAAAGTGAACATGTAGTTTATGCAGTTTTGCTTTTTAACATTTAAAATAACCACAAAAAAAAGAAAGAAATTAGGACCCTCATTAGCTCACCTTTGAAATCAGTGCTGGAAAAAAACACTTAAGAATTTTATGTTTGCAACTATTTTCATTGTAAAAAGGCTAAATTAAAAAGCTTAGCGTGATTGACGGTGGAGCTGAAGGTGGGTTGGTCATCAGCTGAAAACCTTTGGAGTTGTTTGCTTTAGTTTCTCGACGGCTCTTTAAAATCAAGAAGAACTCGATCGTGCGTGAAGTGAAGATTTGCACGCTTCTATCAGCAACAGAAACCTCAGAGAAAAGAGTGGTATTGTCAGCATTAGAAAGAACAGCCTCTTGTTGCTAAAACACTTATCAAAACACCACGTACAAAAGCTAAAACGAGGAAGCTGACGTCTAGCTACGACATTTGGTGTCCAACTGATCCGCAGACCGAAGTWATGCGTTAATTAGATGCATCCGACCAAAACATCGATCTACTTCCTCTCTGTATTCATAACTTCTCCACCTTTTTTTCTTTTCCTTCACACTGCTGAGCTGGAGACCTGGAGCCAGCCCACCTCTGTGTAGGCCCCCGTCACGTGCCAGTACAGCGCCCCCATYAGTTTGGTCCACACCACCTGCACCTCAGCCGTGAAGCATTCTGGGAAATCTTCAGACAGAACCTCCAGAATCACGCCGCACAGGATCTGGGGAGCAGGAGGAGGAGGTAGCTTCTTCGATGCATTCGAAAAGATCATAATAAAAAGCAAACGTGCAGCTAATTGTTCTTACCTTGAAGTAAATGGGTTCCACTTTGTGTTTGAGAGCGTGGGCCTTCCCCACCAGGGCCAGCACCGATGACACCTTCTCCGGGTCGTTGAGGTTCTCCACCACGGTGTTGATGGCGTTCATCACCCTGCAGGCGTGCTGTCGGAGCTGGCTGCTTTGCTCCATCTCCTCGAGATCTTCCATTTCTCGAAACTGGCTGAAATACTGCTTAGCGGAGGGGAAGTTCACAAAGAACCTTTAAAAAAAGGTAAGGTAAAAAAAATGCATTACATTCAATTGTCCTCTTTCCACCAAACCCTCTAAATATTACGATAACCTTTAATTTAAAGTCAAAAAGAAAAAAAGAAGTAGGTCCTCTGGATGGGTTCTAATTTAGTGAAACTTTTCGTCTCTCCTCCAAGAGACTTCTTCAGTCTGATGAGTTTCAGGTGAACTCAGCCTTATAAGCACTGCCTCCACATGGTGGACAAACAGGTTAGTCACATGCAAAAGAGGGCCATTGCCTTTTGTTATGTGTATGTAGTGTAATTTAAAGCATTTCAAACTGTAAAATAAAAGGCTGAGATTAATTGCAAAATCCTTGCAGTATTTGAAAAATAACTACTAAAAACCTAAAAGATGATTATGTTAGATTAGATTAGATTAGATTAGATTAGATTAGATTAGATTAGATTAGATTAGACCTTTATTGACATTGTACAGAGAACAATAACATTACAGTTCAGATCACCCATTCAGAAGAAGATAGAACACACTGTAAAAAATGAAATATTGGATTTACTTAACCATGTTATGTTACCTGGTTCCASTTAACTGAGTTGAGTAAATTCAAAACAATATACCAGTTTTTTTAAGCCAAAGAACATGAGTATGTTGCTTTGAATTTACTCAACTCAGTTAAGTGGAACCAGGTAACATGACATGGTTAAGTAAATCCAACATTTCAGTTTTAGAGTGCATAACAAACATAGAGCGTTGCAGTTATTGGTAAAATGAATGATTTGTAGTATTTAACAGAAATAAGATATGAAGGATACCTGGTATTGTTTTTATTAATTTTTATTTAGATTGTTCAAGCTTGAGTTTGTTTGTTGACGTTGGGTTTTTTTTTTAAATAAAGGGCAAATAAGATAAGATTTATTTTCTTCACTCAGAACCCTTGTCCATGCAGAGCATGATTTACTTTTTTTTTACTGTAGCCTATATACATTTTTTTCTTTTCATAAATTTTTTTTTTCTGTACAGGCATCTCAAATCATGTATCAATATTTCATCTGCTCAGTAATAAGTTATAACTTTCCAACATGTGATGCAACAGGAACAGGGCAGTTTTATTGTTTATTCTGTATTATGTATTTAATCTCCAAATTAAAAGTGGTTACTTCAATCAAAATAACTTTCATAAAGTTTTGAGACGGAGAACCTGCAGGGTTTTTTTTTTCAGAATGTGGGATGAATCTCAGGAACGTCTGGTACCTTAATAAAAAAAAACTAAATTGTTGCAACGTTCATCTTTCCTGCTCGAGGACGTGACAGACAGTGATGGCTGTTTTGGTCAAACCTTGTAAATGACATTATGCTCAAGCTTGTGTGAGAATTATTATTTTTTAACTTGTCATACTGTCAGTACTCAGCACCAACCATGTCAAACTTTAGTTATAAAAGCTGTTAAAGTTTTAACCACTTCTGTGTTAGCTAAGCTTAATTAGTTTTGATAGCCATTTTAACTGGAGTGCACTCAGTTGTAGATGCATAAATAGTCTTTTTTTATATCTTTAAAATATGTCCTCTGGTTGCTAACTGCAGTAGMCGACACAAACACATGAATGATGCAAACTCCAAAATGCTTTAACAAAAAACAAACAAATGCAACAGAAAAACACTTCAATTACAAAAAAACAGACAGAAACAAAAATCAAGAAGGCAAAGTAAAAGTGCCACAAATATCAAAATCAACTGTGAGTAAGAAAACGCTAAAACTCCACACCACAAAACAGATGCTCTTCTACTTTGTGGCGTGGATTGTTTAGCATTTTCTTACTTGCATCAGAGCAGAACTCAACCAGACCTGTGTAAAGACAACGAGATGCAAACTACTCTAAAAATGAGAACTTGCGTCATTTTAACATGAAAATATTGAATGTGTAACATCTTCAAACTGACATTATCCAGGCGGAAGAAAAGGTAGTTCCCACAAAYAGTGATTTAGACAAGATTTTAATAGTTTAGTTACTTTCCACTGTGTTCCTGTTAATGATGACCTGAAATGACTCAAGTGTCAAAGTAACGATACTTTGATTTTAGAGTTGATTTTAAATATAAACTTTTGATATTTCAGTGTCTTATTTTCTTTACATGAGGTTTGGTCCCATGTACAGCCCCTGGCAAAAAGTATGGAATCACCAGACTTGGATGAGCTTGATTCAGACATTTCATTCTGTAAAACAAACTCAGATCAAAAACATGATACGATAATAAAGTCATTCCAAAGTGCAACTTGTTGGCTTTCATGAAAACTCAAAGAAATGAAGAGAAAAGACAAAAACCTAATTCTAATAAAAGAAACTCTAAAGTAAACATCAGAGTTTAACCTGAGCCACTGACTTTTGTGTCGGTCTCAGCAGAACAGGAACTGCAGGAGAGTTTAAACAGTTTCAGTGGCGCTCTTGTGTCGTGACAGATTGTGGAGCCAAGCTAGAAGCCCCCCAGGCAGGCTGAGGCTTCATAAAACRGAGCATGACAGAGGATCAGAGGCTGCAGATGTACTGTAGCCCRACCGCTGAGGGCCAAACTCCAACAGGAAAACATCTGTACCACCGACTCCATTTCACAGACAGGATTTAAAGTGGGTCAGAGGAGAACCATCTGCTCCAGGTCTGTTTGTGAGTCTCCAAGAGGTGAAGATAACCACTTCACTTTGCATCGCCGCAGTCTTTCGCTCCTTCAGATAAGCTAGTGGCAATTTTAGTGATGATTCAACATTCACTCATCTTCTTCTCGCTCACTTGGTGCAGAATCAGACAGCTGTGGTGAATGCTGGAAAAGTCCAAATCAAAAATCTTTGTAGGTCGAGTTCCACTGAAACAAATTAACCTAACAGGGTGGTTCAAATGCAGAATAAAAAACACTGGTTAAACATAATTCAGGCTTGAAAGGGGTTGTAAATATTACAGTTTTGCAACAAATGCTTACATTTTATTTGGGTTTTTCCAGATTTTGTTGTACTAAAAGCACATTTCCATATRAAAAATGTCTTGAAATCTTGAAAATGTTGGAAAAGTGAGTCRACAGTTTTGCTCTCCACATCATAATGCAACATTTAAAGATTTCTGTTTCATTTTAGAACTTTGTTTTGAGCCTCAGAATCAGTTTTATTACCATTGTCAATGAACGGGATTCACAGACTATAGGAATTTGCTTTGGTGTAAAGGTGCAATAAGTATAAAATGTAAAAGAAAAAAAGAAAATACAAAGGATAAAGGAAAAATAGAATAAAATATATTAAACATCTGTACACTCCCGAACCTGTTTCTGACCTTGTTAAAATGCTGTTTAAGTTATGATGCAAGGCTCAAGCTGTAAGGAGGACTTGTTTAAATTTACCTGTTTGATGAAGAAGTCAGGACACAGATCTTAGAACACAAACAAAGCTAAAAGCTTGGAGCTAAAARTAAACAAAACCAAAAGATAACTGTGTTCTCCTTTCACTGGAGAAAGTTATTCAAAWCCTGCCACAACATTTCCACAAAAATCCAAGCAATTAATTGTTACGGTTCAATCAATCTCCTTTAACTAACAGCATGAATAGTTTGCTGTGAGAACATGTCTTCTCGGGCTGCWGTCTGACATTACGCCGTGTTTTGGGACGTTGCCAACCTGTTTGGTGCTCACACGCACAGCACTAGAAATGCATAAAAATTAGACGCCACTTTGAGCACACCTGCATCCAATTACACTCTGAGAGTCTGATCAATCTTAACTATGGAGTCTCATCAGCGCTTCTGCACTTTAAACGCCTCTGCTGGGAACTTCCTGAGAAGCCGATGGTTGCCGAGCCAAATTACACTCTTGACTGACAGGAAAAAAGAAGATGTAAGTTACCGCGCTGCTCTTTTAGAGAAGAAGAGGGAAACATTGATTTAGACTTTCGGCGTGCAGAGCAGTTAAAAACTTCAAATTATCTTTTGTGAAGTGAGTGACATTTAATGGGAATGTAAAAAATAGAAAAGACTGACTTTGCAACTTCCTGCATTGTGCACCTGCTGAAAAGCTTTTCTTTTCTCAGACATTTATGTTTTGTCTGTTCTTGTTCTTAAGATTTAGACATTTAAATATCAGTTTTGTTAGATATTTAAAACATCTGTTAATTCATTTTAATACACATTCTCCTCACCCCCACTTTGTCAAAACACACAAATCAGTTTATGTTGCTTAAGTGAACAAATCCCTCAACAGCAAAGTAAATATTTCAGCWCATCTAGTCGAGCATCTTTAATCACTTAAACTAAATTAATTAATGATTGCTAAAGTTTTAGTTCATCCATCTATCAGTCTTTTTCTATTTCCATCACATGTCAATGTAAATATAAATATTAATGTTTCATTATTTCATCAATTTAGCTTAGCATCTCTAGGATATTTTGTGTATGCAGTCCATTGTCATCACTATAAATGTTAAGCTAAGTCAAAAACTGTTTTTCAAAGCACCACCCTGGACTCAGTAATAATACTTTTGTAAGATCTGTTTTCTTATTTTGTAATGCAAAAAAAAAAACATTAAGCCTCTTTAATGGAACCACAAAGAAAAACCCCTGATAATGACATAATTGTTTCAAAATAAACCCATATATTACACAAGTCAAACTCAAGGTTCACAAACCAAATGTGGTCCACTGCAGCACTTTTTATGGCCCGTGAGTGCTTCAAAGATGCATTAATGTCTTCAAAAAGGTGTATTCAGCTTTGAAGTCAGCATTGATCATAAACTACATCCCCCATAAGGCATATTGATTATTGTACCTACAAAATGACGGCATCAGGGTTCAAAAATTGCCAGAAGCTGGCAAAAATAGCCATGAAAAATTTCCATGTCGCTGCATTTTTACCAGCTACTTTTGCTGCWGCCAAGTTTTACTCRGAAGTGGGAATTWCCCACTTATAACTGGAACACACTCCCTCCAGTGAGAATTCCATGTCGGAAGGTGGGAGAGTTCAGAATTCAAGATGGCGGTYACC